AGAATCCAGTTCCTCACTCAGTTTGTTTGGCAAAAGACAAAGTGATATCTTGTCATTTGGGTTTCTCACTTCTTCAAGTGGTGGCAAAAACAGGATCTCCCAATTGACACTTTTACAGTATAAATTGCCAAAATATTTTCCCCACATGCTCTGTATTCCAATACATTGCTGCAAATTTGTTGATGCATTGAGTGATTTCTCCCTTAACACTTACAAGCCATGGGATTATTTTTGAGATCTCAAAACCCTCAGAGGAATGTCACTCTATAAACCCTGAATTTCTTCCTTATGAACTAATAATTACTAGACAGAGCCCCTGCCATGGCAGATTTTAATTATTGAAAAGTGTGTGTGAGCTTCCTTACCCATCTATACTACCTATGTCCTCAATACTTAGAATGCCATATGTAGCACATTACCAGAGCTTAATAATTATTGGCTAAAAATGAGTAGGAACATTACTAAGCAGGTATTTGAGGTAATTTAAAATCTCCAGAATCTTTCAATACTTCTTTTCCCATGATCCTTCTTCCTATTTCCAAACCCAGTAAGTCACCTCTGCAAAATTTGCCCTAATGATAGCAGTTACATCAATCACGTCTCTTTTGTTTCAAGTACCTTAGTACAAATCTTCAAAGTACCATTTAAATTTACTACTTTGTTCCCCTTAGCCACACTTCTGAAAATATTGTTTTGCAAACATCATTCTCATGCTTAGCATTTTCATACAAGTACAATTGCTTTAAAAAAAAAAACCCAAAACCTAGGAATAAATTTAATGAAGAATGTAAAAGACCTGTACTCAAAAATTATAAGACACTGAATAAATAAATTGAAGAACATATAAAGAAGTGGAAGCATATACCATGTTCATGGCTAGGAAGAAATAACATTAAAATGTCCATACTACCCAAAACAATCTGTAAGTTCAATGCAATTCCTATCAAGATACCAATGGTGTATTTCAAAGAACTAGAACAATATTCAAAAATTAAATGGAACCCCAAAAGACCCCAAATAGTCACAGCAATCATAAGAAAAAAGGACAAAGTGGGAGGAATCATGATACCAGATATCAAACTATACTACAAGGCCATAGTGATCAAAAAAGCAGGGCACTGGCATAAAAACAAACATATAGATCAGTGGAACAGAATAGAGAACCCACACTTCCACACTTTTATAGTCAATTAATATTTGACAAAGGAGGCAAAAACATGCAATGAGATAAAGATATTCTATTCAGCTCAGCCGGTATGGCTCAGTGGTTGAGCGTCAACTATGAACCAGGAGGTCACAGTTTGATTCTGAGTCAGGGCACATGCCCAGGTTGCTGGCTTAATCCCTGGTGCAGGAGGCATCCAATCAATGATTATCTTTCATCATTGATGTTTCTATCTCTCTCTCCCTCTCCCTTTTTTATGAAATCAGTAAAATTATATTTAAAAAAGATATTCTAATCAATAAATGGTGTTGGGAAAACTGGAAAGATATGTGCAAAAAAATGAAAATAGACCACCTTCTTACACCTACACAAGAATAAACTTAAAATAGATTAATGAATTAAATGTTAGACTTGAAACTATAAAAATCCTAGAAGAAATCATAGACAGTAAAATCTCAGACATTTCTTGTAGTAATATTTTTCTGATATATCATCTCAGCAAGGTAAACAAAAGAAAAAAATAAACAAATGGGACCACATCAAATTAAAATGTGTTTGCACAGCAAAGGAAAGTATCAACAAAATGAAAAGACAACACAGTGAATGGGAAAACATATTCTCCAATACATATGATAAGGGCTTAATATTAAAATTTTATAAGGAACTTATAAAACTCAACCCACAAAAAAAGCAACCAACAAACAATCCAATTAAGAAACGGGTAAAGGACCAGAATAGACACTTCTCCAAAGAGGACATATGGATGGTCAAGAGACATAAGAAAGGATGCTCAAAATCATTAATCATCAGAAAAATGCAAATAAAAACCACAGTGAGCTACCACCTCACACCTGACAGAATGGCTACTAACAAGTGTTGGCCAGGATGTGGAGAAAATGGAACCCTCGTGCACTACTAGTGGGAATGCAGACTGATGCAGCCACTGTGGAAAACAGTATGGAGTTTCCTCAAAAAATTAAAAATGGAATTCCCATTTGACCCAGTAATTCCATTTCTAGGAATATATTCCAAGAAACCAGAAACACCAATCAGAAAGGACATATGCACCCCTATGTTCATAGCAGCACAACTCACCATATCTAAGATTTGGAAACAGCCTAAGTGCCCATCAGCAGATGAGTGGAGTAAAAAACTGTGTTACATCTACACAATGGAATGCTATGCCATTGTAAAAAAAAAACAAAAAAAAAAACTTACCATTTGCAACAGCATAAATAGAACTGGAGAGCATTATGCTAAGTGACATAAGCCAGTCAGAGAAAGATAAATATCAATAAATATCACATGATCTCACTCATTTGTGGATTATAATGAACAACATAAACTGATGAACAAAAATAGATTCAGAGACAGAGAAGCATTGAACAGACCATTGGACTTCAGAGGGGAGGCAGGGGTTGGGGGGGGAGCTGGGTAAGAGATCAACCAAAGGACTTGTATGCATGCATATAGGCATGGCCAGTGGACGCAGACACTAGGGGGGTTGAGAGCATGTGCTGGGGGGTAGGGATGGCTGGGGAGATGTAAATGGGTGAAAAAGGAGACATATGTAATACTATATGTAATTCTTTAAACAATAAAGAATTTTTAAAAATAAGCAAGTGCGTTATTAGCATTTCTTCCTATGGTACTTTGTCAGGAAGACAGGCAACAGAAGGCAAATGTTCATTATACAATTGATTATACTAAGCAGAGTTTCAGGATATTCCTGGGTAGGGACTGAAAAGTGTATTTATGTTTCTTTGACTCCCAAAATGCTGTACTCAGAGGGCTGCCACAGCCAGCAAGAATATAATCATCTAGGAAACCAAGAATGTCAGAGATTTGAGGCTATAAAAGATGACTAGCAATTTATCAAAACATCACCTTAATCCAATTGTTCAAGCAAAGATGTATTAGAACAGCTGCCTTGGGCCTGTTGGAGATTGGCTGACACAGCCCTTCAGACCCTGACAAAAGGAGGCCATGGGGCTGTATATCATCAGCCTTAATATTTGCAACCACATGTAAGAACTGCATTGCCTCTGTTAGAACTCCTACTACCAGTTTGCATCCTGTGCCTTTGTGCTGACAGTGCTGGTGGCTTACTTCACATTCAGAAATCAAAACATGAATGAGACAAATGAACAGCTAAAAGAAGTATACTATACTAGTAAATATTTTAATTACTTTTATTGGGGTGACATCTACACTAATAAAAGAGAAACATGGTAATTAGCGTACGACCGCTACCCTTTTCATTGGCTAATCAGTGAGTATATGCAAATTAACTGTCAGCCAAGATGGCGGCCAGCAGCCAGGCACTGAAGCGAGCA